ATGTCTTAAAGGTGTCGTTTATATAACTTGTTTACATGCAGATGACCTCAGCCGTTTAACACGATTTAGCTCTTTTTCACCTCTACCACACCAGTTTGAAGAAGCGGTTCCTACTCCTGCAAACACAGAAATAGTTCATAGTTTACCCACCATCTCCATCACAGAGGAACATGTGGGTGAGTGCCTGCATGCCTGTCTAACTCTCACCCACAGTTACATACTCACTGTGTCTCACCCACCCTGCACCAGGAGCACTTCTGCTTCTTGGAGTGATCCATCAAAACAGAAAAGTCTTTTTGGATCAATGTTGTCCTTTGTGCCTAGATGAATCTAGGCACACCTACTACGATAGAAATAATCACATATCACAACATCAAAGCACACAAAGAGTAATATTGTAATGTCATTTTGGTGTTTGTGCAGGCGCTGGTCTAGAGTGTCCTGTGTGCAAAGAAGACTACCGCATTGAGGAGAGTGTTAGACAACTGCCGTGCTGTCACTTTTTTCACAATGACTGTATATTACCATGGCTGGAACGGGTATGTATAGCTATCATTGATTTTCCAAACTCTATATAAAGCTTTTGTTCTTTGTTAAAACATTGGACGGTATTCCTCAAATCAACTCAAATAACCAGCAGCTGGCAGTTTCAGTGCGTCAGTAAAGTAGAGACTATAAATTACTGAGCAAAAACACAAGCAGCAATGCCTTGGGCACACTAATCTCTGCCTTCGCTGTAAAGACATTCCTTTGGTGCTGCTGTAAGTTGAAAATATGTTTTGAACTTCAGTGTTCTCTTACAGGCAAAAACAAAGAGCAGTCCAACATTAGAATGTTTAGTTTGCTATAAAAGCACTATAATACCATTTGGAAAATAGTAAAGGAAAGGCTCAATGTGATAGCTAGACCGATAGTTATACTGAACTAGTAACTGTTACATATGCCTGTTGGTGTGTGGCATTGTTATAAAAAATAAGCCAATTTAAGAGTTGATACTAACAACTTGTAGAACCGCATCAATCTAGAGACAGTTACCCCATTCTCAGTCCTACCTCCTATGTCCTGATTGGACAGTTGTTGCTTGATTTATATGAGATGCTGCACAAATCTTAGAAATGACACCATTCAGGGAGCTGTCAAGACAATGCCAATTTGAGTGACTTTAATTGTAAATTGTGTGCAAAGTGCCGTTGCATGATGTTAGAAAATAACAATATTAGATTTTGACTCTTTATTTGAACACACTTGGTATGGAATTATTCATACTAGCTGCAAAGAAAAGGCTGATCAGATCATCCCTTATATCTGTGCTGTAGCACATGTGGATACTGTTGATCATCCAGAATAAAACAGAGTTTGAATTTGCCTGTGTAACATTTATATTGATAGTGAACAGAATAAGGACTCTGTTTTTTCCCACAGCGCAATACATGTCCTGTGTGCAGGAGGAGTCTTAATGAACAGCAAGTGGCCACAGTCCAACCAGGGTTATCAGAAGTGGACTTATTTCCCCCAGCCTCCTCCTCCTCCTCCTCCTCCTCCTCTTCCTCCTCTTCCTCCTCTTCCTCCTCCTCCTCCTCCTCCTCCTCCTCCTCCTCTACCACATCCTCGAGTTCACCTAGCAATGAGAACACTGCCAGCAACTAGCTGGAACACAAGTGTGAGGGTCAGCACTTTCGTCATTTTTGCTATATGTAGTTATTTTAAGCTCTAGGAAGAATAAAGCAAAGAATGAGTGGGTCTACAACCAATAAAGCAAGTTACAGAAGTACAAACAAAATTGTGATGGCATCTGACTGTGGTGGGGGACAATAACACCGCAATTAATTTACCTTCCAACATGCTATAGAATAAAGGGGGGGGGGGGGCCTCCACTAGGTCCATCCCTCATCAGGACCCGAGCCAGGACGGGCTCCAGAGAGCCGCACAGTATGGACCAAGGAGGGGAGGAGAAGACCCAAAGAATTAGTGATATGTAACAAGATACAACAAAATAAACCAGGCAGAGAGTGAAGAAGAGAGCAGGTGCTATTGCACTTCTATCGGTCCTGGGAGCGGGACAAGCTCCAGATGTAAAAATAAAGGCCCCATTCTGAAAACATCAAATCACGATTATTTCACATTCAATTTCTGCCAATAGATCCCGTCCAGAAGCTGATGGCCGACATCGCAAACGTCACCTGTCTGCATCAAGTCAAGGTGCTGTACAAGTGCGGACAGAAGATGGCGCTACAACATTGATTTAAAAAAATACATGCAGAGGTCCCTTGTTCTCTGCTCCGATTGGACGGCTGTGCTGTCAGTCAACGGACCAGACCCCTGGTGTGTCTTTAAATACTCCAAAGGAAACTCAGCCGTGTACTCTGCCACTGTGAAAATGAATACGACTAATTCAAAATACCATTTTTAATAGCAATGTTCGCTTTAATTAGTTTGACACAATCATCAAAACATTGACATATAACAACACTTCTGTGAGTGAGGCCATAAAAGGGTATGTGTTTTAAACCTGTGGGTTGCAGTTTCGTTTTGATGAAATGAACCATTTTGCACCGTTTTGTGTCCTCTGCCCTCAGCACGCCACATCTCCACGGCATAAAAACCCCGAGCCCCTTCCCTGCACATCGCTCTTCCTACCCCCGTCGTGCTCTGACGCGTTCTGTACGCGCGTCGGGGGAATGTCCTGCAGCCCGTGAAGGCAGCAGCGCTCTCGCCGCGGCCCTGCTGATATCGGGGCTGAGCGCCATCACCAGCGGACACGAGCAGGAGGCGGCGCGGGGACACCAGCGCCACCGCAGCAGCGCCCCACGGCTCCACGGGCTCCACGGTCATCTCGCAGAGGCGATGGGAGACTGCGCCGCGGACCACTAGACGCGTTTCAACCGGTAAGAGACGTTGTGTTTCCCCCCCTCTCTCTGAAGCAGAATGAATCACTTCGGGGTTTGTTGTTTGTTGTTCTGTTTGTTTTTGTAACCAGGCGTTATTGTTGTTATCATTGACGTTTCTTCGCCGCGAACGTGCGTGCTAGCCGCGGCTCCATCAGGGGCAACACGGAGTGAGGCGTCGGCTGCTTTTAACCGCGATGCTCCGTGCGTGTTCAGTGAAACATACACACCGACGTGACGTCTGGCGTGTGGAGCCGGAGTGAAGAGGCAGATGTTTGATAGCACACGGGCGGCTTCACATCACCGTGGCGCATTGGTTTCTGATCCTCTCTGCTCCGTTGTTTACCAGGGTGTCCCCCTCTCCCACCACCACCACCACCATCAGCATCTCCTGCTGATGCGTGCTGGTGGAGTCAAGCTGAAGGACACAGCCTCGCATGATTCGGAGGCTCAGACCTGGGATGCTTTTGCGTCTGTGCATGCGGATGCAGCGGAGGGGACACACAGTGCTCGGCTGCATTCCTTCACATTAGCCGTGTAATGCAGGTGACGTGCACTGGCACCGCTCAGATACAGCCAAGCCAATCTGTGAGGCGTTCGGTTGGGATTTCTACGGGAGAATGTGGTGATTGCTCTTTTCAAGATGTCGCAGATTCATATTTTGCAAGTTTCGCACGGCAGTACTGCATTTATAAAAAAACAGAAATACTTTCCTGTAGTACAAGTGCTCTTCCAGTCTTCCCCATCATGAAAGGGAAGTTTCTCCAGCTTCTCCTGTGGGAATCCAGTTGAAATGCACCAGGCTTCCCTACTTCAATTCCTGACAGCCCATTAAACCTGGACAGGTCTGCACCACAGACATTTGTTCTGCACGTTCTCTTTGCTAAATTAGTGTAATTGATTGATTGACTTTTGCTCCTCCAGAAATGTTTCTTCATGAATCAGTCTCTGTTTTACAACATGCGACTAACAGGGCAAGGGCTGCTAAAGGTAAAGCATTCATTTTAAGTGGCAATCAAGGGAAACATGGAGAAACTATACTGTGTGATGTCACATCGGAATCTCTCTTCCTATCTTGCTGTAGAAGGAGTGTTTTCAGAAATTCATCTTTGGATCTGGCCCACAGTTTGCTCCTCTGAGTCGAAGCTGCTTGTTTTTATGACTATGTGGTGATATGGTCGGCTGATGTCTACTGAGCTCAGGTGCTGCAGGTGCAGCATGTGGAAGGGTTACAGTGTACTGTTAGGCTCTGCTGCCCAGAGCATCAATCAATCAATCACATTTTATTTGTATAGCCCATGTCCACAAATCACAGTTTGGGGCTTAACAAGGTGCTATATCCTCTTCCCTATATAACCCTCAACAACAGTTAAGAAAACCTACAGCCGCATAAACATAGAAACCTCAGAGCGAGACGGACAGAAGTGCGAAAAGCCGCACGTGTAGCAGAGCACATCAACAACATATTTACAACATTGATTAAGACAGTGTCTAACAAAAATGGAGAGGTGTTTCAGTGTTTTAAGTAGTTCTTTATTTATTTGTACAGCCCTTTACAACAATCCTTTCAGTGAACCAAAGTGCTTTACAATTACATAGTAAAATAAAAACAATAAAAGCAATAAAGTAGAATAAAATAAAATAAAATAAAAGTAAAATAATTTAAGTATTTATACAAAAACAAAATGTCTGATAAAGAGGACGGGAGCAGTAATGACAATTGTCATGATAGAGGTATTGACAATAATATATATGTGGGTAGGCATATTGTATATCTAAGCAGGTTAGTTGTAATCATCATCCATGATCGATTGCCGTCATGATTGTGATCCACCATCACAAGTAGCAGTCTTGGCAACTAAGGTTTGGAATAAGAGCGCTTTGTGAAATATTGTAATTTGTAGAAGCTGTATATATGCACACAGACTCCCAGTAAAAAATTCTCTGGGTCTGAGGACTATTTATTTCATATCTGTTGAACGTTTTTATTCCTCCTGCCAAATTAAAAAATTCCATCTCTGAAATGAAATCCTTACTTCCACGTTTGTGTTAAATCTGGCGTTTTTCTCCAGTGGAGCTCTGTATTGCAGATGTCCCCATCTGACTTGTAGCAGAAAAAAACCTGCTCTTGTCAGCATGAGTTATGAGTTAAGAGCTGCTTGTTGTTATTCTCTGTGCTAGAGCTATACAATAGGAAGAGACATGCCTGGTATCACAGAGGAAAATCCATTGTGTTAAGCACGTTGGCCCATTTAGACAGACAGTTTTAAACAGCTTCATCCTTTTTACACTTGGTGAAACGCTGCCAAAGAGGCTTTGTTCCTAATCACAATTCATGCCATCACTGACTGACAGGAGGATACTTTGGGCCAGAAGGAGAGCTCTGAGCAGGCAGGTCATCGCAGAGAGGACAGTAGAGCAAGGAAACACACTTCAGTAGAAGAAGTGTGTGGATGTAGTGACAGCTAATGAGTTGCTTTTGTAATTTCAATCCTTCTGTGCTGGGAGATCTTTTGACTGGAAATTCATCCAGGTAGAAAGAATTCGTTTTTGCTACAAATGCAGAAAGTAAAAAGATTTTCATTAAAATTGAACAATGGGGTGAATGTTTTAATGCCCCGAATTTCTGTACACATGTATCCCTTTGCATTGCATGGTGCAGATCTGGATGCAGATTGAAAGAGTGTTGATATCTCAGAGAGGGGAATATACTTGGGTTTGAAGCGAACGTACAGTGGTTACATCATCCCTCACGTCACATCGGTCACTGTGCACTGTACTGTCTGGCTGAACAGATTTGGACTTGACTCGCAGCCAGCGCACAGAGCTGGTATCATCCATGGTGAAGCTCCAAACGTTGTTACTTCTAATCTCTGTTACTCAACAACTATACACTGTCTCAACAGTACACAACTGTGCACAGGTCTTGATGAGAGCATTTTACCACCAAGTCATGGCAGCTGGTCAAACCCAATTGAAGTTAATAAAATAGGTCAGGTAATAACCAGTGAGATCCATGATAACTAAGTAAATGAAAAAGCAGCAAGTAGACCTTTTTTTTTTATTACAATAATTTTTAGCTAAAAAATGAACTTATTTACAGTATAAATATATAAATACCATATTAATATATATAAACAGGTAAACAAAAACCAACTTTAAACATACATACCAAAAGTGTATAGACTCCTGACATTACAATATCTGGGATGTAGACATAAGTTGCAGAGAGCAAAAACAAAAAATATCTCAGAGGTCTTGCTGACTGTTGAATAATTAGTGATGGGAAGAAGATCTAAGGTGTTCTGTCTTCAAGTGAAATAAAATGTAAAATTCTTTTTTCAAGCAGATAAGCAGGAGATACACTGTGTTCTGGTTTCAGGAATCCTGTTTTTTGAACTTGTACATGCCTCACTAAAGAGCATTATGCAGTACACTCTTCCTGCTTTGAAATATGTTGCAGGGACTTCTAGAATTATTGTGCAGGTGTGATTTTATGCATCAGAGCATTAACTCAAGCATCAATGATTTACCATTAATCAAGTGCTTTAGAGGAGATTTAAAATTTTAAATCGTTTATTGTGGTAACGCCTTAAAATATAATAAACAGGCCATATCAGCCAGTCTTCAGAATATTTATGAAGTTTGCCAGTCAGTTTATTGTCAC